ATCATTTCAGATATTGAAGAGGATCAAACCAGGTATTCTCAAGAAAATGCAATTTTAGTTTTTTTGGTCTATTTTTGTAAATTTAAATAAAAATTATGTTGATTTTATTTTTATCTTTGTTGGTTATTATTTCAATATTTCATAACACTAAACTTTGAAGAGAAATTTAAAGCACTGGGCTTTTAAAAAAAAAGATAGGAGGGATTTTAACAAAATAAATAAAGTATTTGAAATATTTCTAAAAAATAAATTGAAGTACTTTGGAACCTTATTTTATCGGATATTATTAGAAACAAATGCATGCAACAAAAATCAGTTATACTTTATAGGTGTAGAGAGCCCCCTTAAACAACATAAAATCAAACAATAAATCGATTAGTTGAGTATTATTCCCGTTGTTTTCTACTCTTTGATGGACTGTAAGTATGGTGTTCATTTTTGTTCTAGAATTCTAACTTCTTTTGACAAAGTAGAATAATACACGTGTACATTACATCAAGATAAGAAATACAAATAAAATTTTTATTGGAGATTTTTCGCATTTAAAATAATTAGTAATTTTACATATTCAGAAAACACTCATTTTTTCAATGTATGATATAAGTCCGAATAATTTAGCCAGAAAGTTTATATTTCGACAGATAAATAGCACCATTATAAAATTTATAATCGGAAATCTCTTCTGCTTTGGATATACGTACAGCAGTTTATGACACCCTCCACTTGAAAAAGTGATACATTTGTAGGAATGTCCGTCCGTCTCCACGTTCGTTTTTCTGTCTGTCCGTCAGTTTTCTTCTGTCTGTCTGTCTGTTACTGTTTTGGGTACCCATGTCTTGTCCGCAGCTCTCCTTATACCACTGAATTAAATTGAATTTAGACATTCACAGAATCTTTGTATCAAGAATCTTTGTGCGATTGTGCACCTTTTTAATTTATGTTTTGACCCGACTTATATTTTGGGTTTTCAATAGCAAACATACATGGGTACTACAATTATTTCTGTGAGACTGTCGGATATTCAACAAGACAACGAGAAAAAAAAATTAACCTAACAATAAAGCTCAATGATTAATGTAATGACTTTAACTTTTCCATCGTCTTACTTCTTCATAACCTTCATAAGGATTTTATGTTTCTTAGTTGATTTGATACGCAAGAGCATGCTCTACGTCTGAACATTTTCTAAACCGGGTAAATCATTGAAATACAAATTAATGGTACAAAAATTACAACCACCTTGTTTTAGTAATCATTTCGTACGTTCTATGGTCGATATAAGGGTCTTGTCAGTGAAATACAATTTATCATGAGTAAAATGCTGACTGATGTAAATATAAAATCAATTAATCTATGTTAACTACTGTCTTCAGTTGTCAATGTTGTTTTGCTGCTACACATGCATGTTTTAGATTTAGAAAAGGACATAAAAGAACAACGTTCAATTTTGTCTTTTTTAGCCCTGTGAATTTCAGAGAAAAAAAATTTTAGATAATAATGCATTGATAAATTATTTAGATCTTTTGTGATTGCGTATCTATCGAAAATGACGTAATTGTCTAGCTTGTAAATGCATTCTGTCGTCATTAAATGCGCTAATTTCCTCATATTCTAGAACAAGTCTACAAAACGGCGACTTTTCAAAGCTATTTTTTAATATTTGATTAAGAGTGCTTCCTTTGATCTAAAATGTGCAATTATGAAATGATAAAACTGTTTCTGGGGACTTAAAGACATTATTTATTATTTTTAGATTGGAGAGTGTGCTCATTATTGATCTTTATTGAAAGTACTCAATTACACCTGTTAACCTTAAAATTCAAGAACATTGCAACTTCATTAAATCAGTTTCAAAAGACCTGGACTTTTAGGCGAACATTTTTAATAGGATTGAATCTATATTGTTTAACGTTCCTCTCGAGAATTTTTCACTCATGTTACGAATTTGGCATTCTCCACTATATTGCTTTGAATAAGTAAACAAGATGTTTCTTGTGATATGAGCCATTAAAATGATGATTCAATGAATGATTGAATGAATGATATGTATTGAGATTTATTCTTATTTATCTGTTATTATTGATTACTGTTATTTGGAATTTATTACGATCTGGGTGCATTGTTCACCAAGTACCGAATTTCCTCCACGTTTTGAGGAATACGGAATGTAAATAAACCATTAACTGGTCTACAAATGCTTTTATACAGTACTAAATGTGCTTACCTTTGATAATTTGTATAATTAATAAATCCATTCATTGATAATTAGTGTAAAACCTTACAATTACACTCTGCTTTTCATACTAAGCGGTAAAAGATGTAAACTACATTCGGAACACCTCTGATGAGTATAATAGTTAAGTGTATCCGAAGTTTTCCAGCTATCTGACGTTATGGCGCCAAATCTCATGCATTTATCGAGTGAATGACGTCATAACGGGTGTAAAGCCTTTATATACGAGCTCCCAGCGTCTAATGGTCAGACGCCTGCGGTCTCACCCACGGAAAGGTCTACCTGACGGACCAACTCCGAACAAGGCAGTCTCCCCATCACCAAGGGTTCTATTTTAGACAGAGAGACAAATTGACATGATGGGTAATTATTAACCTGAATTTGTTAGCAACATTTGATTGCGTTATTCATTTATTTTACTCAGACACAAAGTTGAATTCATTCAATGTTATTGTTTATTGTTGCACAAGAACAACCTGAACTTGATATTTATAATTCCTGACATTATTACTGACAACAAACTAACAAATGCATGGTGCATTGTATTGAGTTTTGTTGTTTGCTACATCTTTTGAATGTTAACAAGTGCTAAACGCATTGTATTGAGATACTAGCATAACTTTTTGTTCCTATACAATTAGTTGTTTGCTATAACCTGACATTTTATATTTATACTCACTAAGTGAAGAAATCACTAGTTCAATCTTTATTCAAGACCTAAAGATATAAGGTCTGTTCATGTTAATTAAAGGGTTTGTTTAAGGGTGGTTTTATAAATTAATATTTGTTGGAAAGGATGGTTGTTTTGTTTTTATTTTAGGTGAGGACCGCAGAGCCAAAGAAGAGTATTTTTGTATGTTTATTGAATAAAATCTAATAAAATATTAAAAACAAATTATATCCTGTTGTCTTTCGTTCAACATTCAGATTAAGGAGCCCCACAATGTTACGCCGCTAAACATATAAAGCTGTAAGTCGTAACAATTGGTGTCAGAAGTGGGATAAAGTCTTCCTTATATTCTGGTTGATCGAAAGTCTACATCAGGATCTCATAATATTGACAAAGTCTTGTTAAGTCTTTTGACAACGACAAGCACATTGACATATAAACACATAAAATTTGTGTTGCAATAGCCAATAACAAAAGTCAAAATGTCAAATGAAAACAGCCAATTTGAAGCTTCTGAGGAGAATGGGTGCAGGTCCTGCGATCTGAATAATGACATCACTTGTGATGAGTATCAACGGTCCGGTACCTCTTCTCCTATACAGAAATCAGGCTCTGACAAGGCTGAAAACATAAATGAACTTTTGTTAAGAGCTGTAGAAATGATGAACAAAGAAGTCTTAAACATGAGACAAGACATAGATGAACAATTGTCAAACATGAGACGAGATTCTCGTCAATTACAAGAACAAGTTGATGAGTTAAAACGAAAAGGGACCCCCAAAGATAATGCAATCAGATATCAAATGCATGGGTGTAGAGAGTCCCTGGGTTTTCACGATCAGTCTCCTGTTATTGGGGCTGGGGAAAGTATCAGACAAATAAATCCTTCTGCAAGGGAGATAAATTACAATGAAAATAGAGTTCCTTCCCCTTTCAATTCTAAACCAATTTTATCTATTAAACCACCTACGTTCGATGGGTCAGAAGATTTTGGGGATTATCTGGCCCAATTCGAAATCTTGGTCGATTTACATGGTTGGAATTACAGGGCAAAGTCACTATGCCTAGCTAGCAGTTTAGCGGGAGGGGCTCGTGCACTTTTAAGTGAAATTAACGAAGTTCAGCGCAGAGATTATGATTCCCTAGTCAAGATTCTTGATAGGCGTTATGGTTCATTTGAACGATCTGAAATGTTCAGAGCTAAGTTAAAGACAAGAACCAAGGGTGACAAAGAATCTTTATCTGAACTTGCACAATCTATCAAGAAACTTACTAGGCAAGCGTATCCTACTGCAGATTCTAACTTGACAAATGTTCTATCATTAGATCACTTCATAGATGCACTTCCCGATCCGGATATGCGCCTTCGCTTGAGAGAAAGTAGACCCAGAGACATTAATGAGGCTGAGATATTGGCGATAAGACTTGAAACCCACAAACTGGCTGATGCTCAGAGGGTAAAAATTGTCAATGCCATACATCCAGAAATGGATACCAATCTCCTTGTCAAACATTCTGTGAAGTATAAATATGTCAAAATAATTCAATCTGTTTTATTGCTGATCCGTATATTTTATAGGATTCCCATAATCTTAGGGACTCTCAACAACATGACATGTACGAAGAGAAAAATCAAAGGTAAGTAGAGGTAAGTTGAACAATATTTCACTGATGCATAAATATCAATCAATCATTGTAATAAGATTTATAATATGACTGCTTGAATGCATAGAATGCATGGTGTCGATTGTAAATTTGAATTGAAGCAGTAAGAAATTGGCCTATCCCATCAAATGTGAAAGAAGTCAGAAGTTTTCTGGGACTGTGTTCCTACTATAATCTAAATTTATGTTCATCAACAAAAACCTCAATATCCAGATCATCTGATTATCTCGAAATTCAGTCTTCGGGATTTCCAAGTTAAACAGTAAGTTTGCTTTATTGTTAGCAAACTTTAAATATTATTAAACATTGACAAATATCTAAAAACATATAACAGTCAATCTAGTACAATGCTCAAATTTCAATAAACACGACGCAATTGTCGTATTTTCAAAACGAAAGTAGATTTCGTGCATCTCTTCGTACGATTTATCAAAAGGTGTGACGTCAAATCCTCATGCTGAGAAAAGAATCGCCACTGAATTTTCACAATTTTCATCCAATATACTTGCAAAAATGGACGAAATGCAACCTCCAGTAAGTTAATTAAATACTCGTTATACATAACATTTGATATGACTGCAAGCAGATCTTTTTATGTGTTGTTTTGCAGCACATGTGTGAAAACAACAACTGCACAATTCAAATTGACATCCGTCAAACATTCTGTATTAATATGTCAAAATAATTCAATCTGTTTCATTGCTGATCCGTATATTTTATAGGATCTACGTATTCAGAGGGACTCTCAACAACATGACATGTACGAAGAGAAAAATCAAAGGTAAGTAAAGGTAAGTTGAACAATATTTTACATGCATGAATTAAATGCATAAATGTATGTATATAATTACATATAGGTCAAATATTTACAGATCATCGACAGTATAAAAACTCAACATAAATAATCTCTTGTCGTTTTCATGTTCAAGAAAACAATTAAAATTTCATGTGTAAAATCATCAATTGTCAAATATTCATATTATCTAGCTACTTCAAACCATGTTGGTATATTTTCATCAACAGTTTCATTGTTTGTTACATTTTCAGTTTGTTTTGTAGGGATATCAAAAGGGCAGAGCGGATTTACCGCAAGATCTGGTTGTAACAGAACAGTTTTTCAGGTATTTTTAAGCTCTTAGTGTTGTTGTTAGGATCTTAAGTTTAACTAACAATGTAGTTTACCTTCTTGCCCATAGTCCCTGTCATATAAAATAGGTGAACTTGTTAGTGCACGCTGTAGCTTGTCAAAAGATTTGTGACAGTCTTCACCCCAAACAAATTTATGGCTTACTTCAGTCAGTTCGTGCAAGGGTCTAGCCATATCAGAAAATTTAATTGAGAAACTGCTTTGAAATTCTTTTAGCAATTCTCTTAATTTTTGCTGTTGTTCTTGATCAATGTTTTTATAAGATTTCTCAAACACAGACTTCATATGTTCAGGAAAATTTTCATTTGTTTTCTTTTCGTGTTTTGTCAAAACATTTATTGATTGGGGAGTACTTTCAATGATCCCTGAAGTATCTTCTAAATTTGCCACAACAGTCCCCTTGAAAATTTTTACACTTTGATCACCTAAGTTCATGTATCGAACAGGCACCCTATCAGTTTCGACTTTTGTCAAAATCTTTGGAACTAATACATCATGTTTATCTAAAAATTTTTCCACAGGCTCTAACAAAGTAACCTTGTCATTAAATAATGGGTTTTCTACTTTAGCCGGGGCAATAAATTCACTGAGAGGGGGAATATCTATAGTTTCCGTCAAAAATACCTTACAACATTGCTTATTCAAAGCTTCATGCGTAAAGCAAGAAACGTCTTTCCCCTTTATTCTAAGTTTCATTTTGTTCAACAGAACATCACAGTTGTGGTCTTTCATGAAATCTAAACCCAAAATACATTCATTTTGGATATTAGCTACTAACACATTTTGATTCACCGCAACATCTCCCACACATATTTTCGCTAGGCATTCCCCTAGGACAGATATTTTCTCCCCACTAGCAGTTGTTAAATGTACCAATGAAGGGTTCAAATCTAATTTCCCCTTTAACTCTGAACTGTCTGCAAAATCTGAGCTGATGATTGTTACACTAGCTCCTGTGTCAACCATCATTGTAGTTCGAATGTTCTCAATTTTGCCTACTACAAAAATTCCCTCACTGCACCCCTTTACATCACCTACTCTCTCATTTCTAGGTGCATTTTCACATTTAACAAGTTTCTCAACATCATTTTCTGATTTATTGTTCTCAATATCATTTTTTGGTTTCTTGTTCATCATATTTTCATTCTCAGTTACGTTAACTGTATTTTGAGGACTCTTTTTAATATGCTCATTTCTTCCAGCAGGAAGAGGTCCTCTTTTATCAACTTTGTTTAACAATGATTGGGGCCTACCCCTGTACTTTGTCGACTTCTGCCCCCTGAATTCGACACGGGAAAGTTTCCCTGATTTGAGGATTGGAAGCGACCATCTTCATATTGTCTATTTTGGTAAGCATTTCTTCTTTTAAAATTATTTGCATTGTATGGCTGCCTAACTTGAAACTGATTGTTCTGTCGATCATTTTGTGCATTCCTGAACCGGGGATGCACCTCGCTTGAATGAGAAAAGTTAGGTCTTGAATTAAGAACATCTTTAAGGAGTGATCTAATCTCTTTTGTAAGTGATTGGAGATCATCTCTTAAGACCCTATTTTCTTGCTTGATTGAGGCAAGGAGATTGGTATCCATTTCTGGATGTATGGCATTGACAATTTTTACCCTCTGAGCATCAGCCAGTTTGTGGGTTTCAAGTCTTATCGCCAATATCTCAGCCTCATTAATGTCTCTGGGTCTACTTTCTCTCAAGCGAAGGCGCATATCCGGATCGGGAAGTGCATCTATGAAGTGATCTAATGATAGAACATTTGTCAAGTTAGAATCTGCAGTAGGATACGCTTGCCTAGTAAGTTTCTTGATAGATTGTGCAAGTTCAGATAAAGATTCTTTGTCACCCTTGGTTCTTGTCTTTAACTTAGCTCTGAACATTTCAGATCGTTCAACTGAACCATAACGCCTATCAAGAATCTTGACTAGGGAATCATAATCTCTGCGCTGAACTTCGTTAATTTCACTTAAAAGTGCACGAGCCCCTCCCGCTAAACTGCTAGCTAGGCATAGTGACTTTGCCCTGTAATTCCAACCATGTAAATCGACCAAGATTTCGAATTGGGCCAGATAATCCCCAAAATCTTCTGACCCATCGAACGTAGGTGGTTTAATAGATAAAATTGGTTTAGAATTGAAAGGGGAAGGAACTCTATTTTCATTGTAATTTATCTCCCTTGCAGAAGGATTTATTTGTCTGATACTTTCCCCAGCCCCAATAACAGGAGACTGATCGTGAAAACCCAGGGACTCTCTACACCCATGCATTTGATATCTGATTGCATTATCTTTGGGGGTCCCTTTTCGTTTTAACTCATCAACTTGTTCTTGTAATTGACGAGAATCTCGTCTCATGTTTGACAATTGTTCATCTATGTCTTGTCTCATGTTTAAGACTTCTTTGTTCATCATTTCTACAGCTCTTAACAAAAGTTCATTTATGTTTTCAGCCTTGTCAGAGCCTGATTTCTGTATAGGAGAAGAGGTACCGGACCGTTGATACTCATCACAAGTGATGTCATTATTCAGATCGCAGGACCTGCACCCATTCTCCTCAGAAGCTTCAAATTGGCTGTTTTCATTTGACATTTTGACTTTTGTTATTGGCTATTGCAACACAAATTTTATGTGTTTATATGTCAATGTGCTTGTCGTTGTCAAAAGACTTAACAAGACTTTGTCAATATTATGAGATCCTGATGTAGACTTTCGATCAACCAGAATATAAGGAAGACTTTATCCCACTTCTGACACCAATTGTTACGACTTACAGCTTTATATGTTTAGCGGCGTAACATTGTGGGGCTCCTTAATCTGAATGTTGAACGAAAGACAACAGGATATAATTTGTTTTTAATATTTTATTAGATTTTATTCAATAAACATACAAAAATACTCTTCTTTGGCTCTGCGGTCCTCACCTAAAATAAAAACAAAACAACCATCCTTTCCAACAAATATTAATTTATAAAACCACCCTTAAACAAACCCTTTAATTAACATGAACAGACCTTGTATCTTTAGGTCTTGAATAAAGATTGAACTAGTGATTTCTTCACTTAGTGAGTATAAATATAAAATGTCAGGTTATAGCAAACAACTAATTGTATAGGAACAAAAAGTTATGCTAGTATCTCAATACAATGCGTTTAGCACTTGTTAACATTCAAAAGATGTAGCAAACAACAAAACTCAATACAATGCACCATGCATTTGTTAGTTTGTTGTCAGTAATAATGTCAGGAATTATAAATATCAAGTTCAGGTTGTTCTTGTGCAACAATAAACAATAACATTGAATGAATTCAACTTTGTGTCTGAGTAAAATAAATGAATAACGCAATCAAATGTTGCTAACAAATTCAGGTTAATAATTACCCATCATGTCAATTTGTCTCTCTGTCTAAAATAGAACCCTTGGTGATGGGGAGACTGCCTTGTTCGGAGTTGGTCCGTCAGGTAGACCTTTCCGTAGGTGAGACCGCAGTCGTCTGACCGTTAGACGCTGGGAGCTCGTATATAAAGGCTTTACACCCGTTATGACGTCATTCACTCGATAAATGCATGAGATTTGGCGCCATAACGTCAGATAGCTGGAAAACTTCGGATACACTTAACTATTATACTCATCAGAGGTGTTCCGAATGTAGTTTACATCTTTTACCGCTTAGTATGAAAAGCAGAGTGTAATTGTAAGGTTTTACACTAATTATCAATGAATGGATTTATTAATTATACAAATTATCAAAGGTAAGCACATTTAGTACTGTATAAAAGCATTTGTAGACCAGTTAATGGTTTATTTACATTCCGTATTCCTCAAAACGTGGAGGAAATTCGGTACTTGGTGAACAATGCACCCAGATCGTAATAAATTCCAAATAACAGTAATCAATAATAACAGATAAATAAGAATAAATCTCAATACATATCATTCATTCAATCATTCATTGAATCATCATTTTAATGGCTCATATCACAAGAAACATCTTGTTTACTTATTCAAAGCAATATAGTGGAGAATGCCAAATTCGTAACACTCATATGGAGACATCACCGTTTGCCGATGAAGGGCTTCAATTTTTTTACCTTTACTCGGAACTCAGGGCCACTGAGCAGTGAGGAATCTGTATCGTGCCAACGCCTGCCGCTGACACGGGGCCTCAGTTTTTAAGGTTTCATCCGAAGGAACCTTTTCAATGGGATATGAAAGCAGCAAGTCTCTATTTTATTTTAGTACTTCAAATGAAAAATCAAGTGTTGACCAATCAATTAATTTATCTATAAGGCCATTTTATGCAAAACGCGAATCGACCTATTTTACTACTCAAAATACATACTTTTCAGAGGTATTTCATGGATAAAAATTAATGCATCGAGAAAATGAAACATATAAAGGTATAGTGCATCATATGCAATCATTCCAAGCCTTTAAATGTAAGAGTTTTATACTAAAGGTAAAGGTATAGTGTATCATAAGCAATCATTCCAAGCCTAAAAATGTTAGCTAAATCTATTCACCTGATTCTGCTTGCAATCTGTAATGATCTGTTGACCTAGCAATGGCGTCGCTGTATGATGTTGCCCCTAGTGACCCCCAGTCATCTATCAATCCATCATGTCTCAAACGGTTGTAAACAGGCAGAAGGCCCTTTTCATCATAATTAGACTGACAGCACTGGTGTTCAGGTCCCAAAATACGCTGCTTTTCACTTTGCCTACAAATGGAGTTGCGATAAAATAGCCATTTTCTTGTAAAGATTTCAATTTTTCATGACTCAGATTACTTTTAATAAAAATACTTTTAAAAAGAGGCTTTGTCAATTTGATGCATAGGGCATCTA